AGACTCTCCTAAGCATCCCATTTCATTGCTTCAACCACAGTACCTGGGATTTGAAATGCAAATAGTATTTCAGCAGGAAAAGCTCTCCCCCCCCCCAACACACACCTTTTCCCAGGTCTTCTGAAAAAAGCATCTCATTCAACTGATCTATTAATATGAAGAGAGGAGTTAAGGGATTATATTAAGCAAACCAAGACTGAATCAAGCCTTTTCCTGTTAGGTTTATGTCAAGGTTCGGCCTTTGAGTTGTTAAAACTTTGCTGGTTTGTTTGAGATAGGGAACCATTCTGCCTCAGAAATAATGAAAGATTTTATTTGGATGCTCATACTCAGATGGGATTGTTCTACTAATCTCTCTTGAAAAATCTTTTCTTTTCTCAAGCAATTGTCTCAAATTTTTGTGGTTAAAAACCCCCGGGGTGCGATGAATGCGATACTATTTTGTGCAAAAATGCCGACAGTGGGAATTAATTATTTGATTAGGCAATACCATCGTCAATTTGATATAGTAAGCCTTACACTCTAGATAGCTTTAAATGGGAGAATTGTTGTTGGAGAAGCAGTAGCATCAATTGTTTAACATGCCCTTCTGTTTGAAAACCTTTTATTAGACCATAAAGGCATGGCAATTTTTCAGAGTAATATCAGGACAATATGGGACGCGGGTGGCGCTGTGGGTAAAAGCCTCAGCGCCTAGGGCTTGCCGATCAAAAGGTCGGCAGTTCGAATCCCCGCGGCGGGGTGCGCTCCCATCGCTCAGTCCCAGCGCCTGCCAACCTAGCAGTTCGAAAGCACCCCCGGGTGCAAGTAGATAAATAGGGACCGCTTTCTAGCAGGAAGGTAAACGGCGTTTCCGTGTGCGGCTCTGGCTCGCCAGAGCAGCGATGTCACGCTGCCCACGTGACCTGGAAGTGTCTCCGGACAGCGCTGGCCCCCGGCCTCTTGAGTGAGATGGGCGCACAACCCCAGAGTCTGGCAAGACTGGCCCATACGGGCAGGGGTACCTTTACCTTTACCTTTATCAGGACAATAACAGAGCAATGCTAACAGTGAATGACACCACTCAGCCTACCACCTCGTTCTATAAGATAAAAGAACCCTGAGTCTGAATTAGGGGGAGGGCTTTAGCTTAGTGGAAGAATAACTGCTTTGTGCTGCAAAGATCCCAACTTCTCATGGTAGGGCTTGGGAGAGGCGCCATATCTGAAGCCCTGGAAAGCCACTGCCCATTGGTGTAGATAAGAATCCTGAGCCAGATGGACCAGTGGTCTGCCTTGGTATAGGACAGCTTCCTGTGTTGTACTTAACCTGAGAGTGAGCCCCATTAAACTGAATGGGACTTATTTCTGAGTATATACATGCACAAGGATTGTTCTTGCTTTCTGGAGACAGGAGGAGGGCTGCCAAAAAATGCATGTTTCACCAGCTCATATTCTCCTGACATTCCCCTCCATCCCTAAAGAGTCAGGTCATTTTGTTCAGTCTTAGCCAGGTGCAGGTACCCTGAAGGCAACGAAGGACTGAGACGTGGTGGGAAGGGAACTTAGTTCCTCCCTTCTCCGCTTCACCCTAGATAACCTCCATGCAATCTGATTGCCATTCGTTAAATATCCTTGAATCCTCGTGCAACAGTTCCACTTGGGAGTTACCTGCGTATTACCGGCGGCAAAAATAATTTATCATTAGGGTGCCTAGGGTGGCTTTTGACATGATATGAAATGATGGGGGTTGGCTGTGCCAATCACTTTCACATAGTCTCTCAACCTTGATGTCGAATGTAAGGCAGCTCTTAGATTTAAGCTGCCTGGAATTAATATTCTTAAACAAGCCCCTCTAACTTGCTTCTGGATCAGGCTGATGGCTGTCACCATCAGGAATTCACCCATCCCTGTAGCACCAAGGAATAGTTTCAAAGCAACAGGGCAGCAATTCCTTCCCATTCTTATTGCATGTTTGAAAACTGAATATTTCACATACTTTATCCCAAAATCTGATGTGTTGTGATCGAGTATGAATATATATATTTAAAGGGAGGTATTCAGCTATGCTTTAATCAGAGCAGACGTACTGAAATTAAAGCCACATTCATTAATTTCAGTGGGTCTACTCTGAGTAAAGCTTAGTTGGCTATCATGAAAATCCTTATAATTTTATGTAAACGGCATTGTGCAAACTGTGGGGAAATACATCTATTTTTCATTAGGATTCCAGTGTACCAGGTAAAGGCTGTGTATGCATATTAGCATATTTTGCAAATAAAAAAGTTGCCAAGAGCGGATTCAAGGAGCAAATCCCATCATTCTTGCATCATAAACTGCTTTATTATAATGAAGTCAAACGACTCAGCTCTCCTACGCAAACAGGTAACAAATAGCCACATCTTATTTCCATTACCATGATTGGATGAATAGCTGACCGTTTATCTTCCGGCACTTACTCCATGTTGATTGCCTATTTTAAAGAGGCATTCATTTACATGAATTAACACATGTAGGTCCATGCAAATTGCTGCTTCCCTGAAATTAAGCTGAAAACATTGCTCAGTACAGACACTTGGAGGGAGATAATGAATAGCATTATGAAGTCTTTTTCAGTAAGTGTCCCTGCTGTGGCTGTTACTCCTTTAGTTAAATCATTATTAGAGAACCTGTAGCCTTCCAGACGTTGTTGTCGAGCTACAGCTCCCATAATTCCCGGTTGTCGGCCATGTTGGCTGGCGTTGATGGGTCTAACAACATCTGGGGGACCACAGATTTCCCACTCCTGCTTTACACCATAGGACCATATATACTCCTATGTGGAAAGGCAGACTTTTTTTTTCCATGGCTGGGGGGATGTTATGTCTAGTGAGAAACTGATTATGAGAGCTAATCTTGCTAAGACCCCAATATACTGATGTGGTATCCGAAAAAACTGCCAGGTGGAAGTTTCATAATTATTTTGCATCCAGCTCTTAATTACCATGCTGCTAATGCAGCAAAAACAATGCAGAAGGAACTTACTAGATACCAGTCTCTGCAGCCACAGCAGGCGCTGTGATTCTCCAGCGGTTTCGCTCCTGGAGGCGCACCCCATTGTCTTTCGAGACAGACAGGTGCTAACAATAATAACAATAATAACCTCTTAATTATCTCTATGCACATGGATTTCTCCCCAAACTATTATTTCATACATTTCAGATTTTCCCATGCCAATTGATGGTTCAGGAAGGCTTTCAAATCAATCCCTGCCCCCCGCTGTATTCCAAACTCAAAGTGAAATGCATGAGAGAGACAGTTACATCTCTTTATACAAACAGCAAAGTCATTCTCCAAGTTGTGGATTCTTGTGTAACCAAAACACTGCAGCAATATATTTTTTTACAGGAACCATTTGCTTGTATTATTTGTATTAAGCACGAGTCATCCTGATTATTTGTGCCAAACAGAATGATTACATGCTTATTAGTTCAATTTATTCAGTGGGACGTACTTCTTGAAAAGGCATGTATAAGATGTGCCATGAAGCTACTATGCTACCTGTACTTACCTGGGAGCAAGTCCCATTGAATTCAAAAGGATTTGCTTTTGCGTAGACATATTTAGGATTCCAGTGTTCAAATGTATAATTGCCTTCAACTAGTGAAATCCCTAAAGAGAAAGGACTTGCATCACATTGTTTATATCTTACTAGCACATAATGTTCAGTTCATTTCCCATCACAGTTCATGTGTATGAATTTTTATGTACATTTCCAATCACTTTAATATGGTGTTATTTATTGTGTTTATTTTCAAAGGTGGCAAATGGCATCCCATTCACATTATAGAATCAGAGCCTAGAATAATAAGTATACTTTATTACAATATGCTTAGCACCAAATATATGTGTGGTGTCACTGCCTGCAATTTTGAGCTAGTCACCGTTTTTTTAAAAAGAGGCATTTCAATGAAGCGTGGCTTTAAAAGGAGGGAAACCCATTTTAATGCAAAATGAGAAAAATCTCTTGCATAGAAACATAATGATCTGAAAAATTATTTGAAGGTATCAATGCATTATTTAAAAAAAAGTTTTGCTTTAAAGAAACAGGGACTGAGCACTCTTTGCTTAGTTTGGGTTCGAAAGTGAGCTTGGGCAGGCTCCACGTTTGTGCTCACAAAAGCCTCGCCAAGAAGTTCAGTCCTTGAGGACACAATGAGTTTTTGTTTTGAACACTAGCCAGATGATGGATAAGCAAGGCTGAAACATGAGAAAGATAGAGCTGAAAGCAAATGAAACCATGGTTTAGTAAGCTAGGAATTTAACATTATGCTTACACATTTGCCCTTCTTCCCCATCCCTCATTCCTTCCATGGCTTTAGGTCTCGTATCATGATTACTTTCATTTTTTATTACATCAAAAATGATGTAAATTCGAGTTTTAATCTTGGATTGTACACTACAATCTGAAACCATGCTAATGCCCTAATGTAATTTGAAGTCCAAAGATTAAACCACAGTTTCCCGTGTCAGGTTTCTAGTTTTAAGGTAATCACAATTCAGGCGTCAAAGTCAATGTACAGGAATTGAAGGGAAGGAGCAAGGAAGGAGCATGCAGGCACAATGTTTGTTCCGAGTTGAATAAACCATGTTTTATTAAGCCAAAATATTGTTGCATCGAGATGAAACCCAATCGCAGCGTTCAGATACATGAATTGTGCTAGTCATAGTTAAGAACCTACATGATGGTTTGAGCTTCCAAAGTGAAATTTTGGAAAACGAGCCTTTAAAATAAAGTTTGACTTACACCACCAGTTTTCCTGGTATAGGTTCTGCTGGGTTGCCACGTCATGTCACCGAGATGCAAGAGGATTGGATTTTCTCTCCTTTGCCCTGCCTCACCCCATCCCTTTTGGGGGGACTTGCCACTTTAAATTGTTTGATGACTCAAAAGCAAATTGATTTGAAAACTTCCACTGATGCAGGCATCTAGGCTTCATGACTTTGATGGAAGGAGGACTATGAAATCTTGTGTTTCCACAGGTTCTCTGCAGTAACAGCCTGCTAGAATCAACAGACTACTGGTCCAGAATCAGAGGACACCATGCCGGATTGGCATCGTGGAGGACCAGTTGGAGAAGAACTATGCCTCTGTAAGTCCTTGAGCGATCCAAAACCCTAGCAGGAGAAGAATGTGCAGTCAGAACAGCGAATAAATCGTAAATCTGAAATGTATTGGCTTGTTGTTTGAAAACACTGCCTATTAGCAAAAACACAGTCAACTATTTAGGCAATCAAAAATGAAATTTCGCAACTCTACTGCGTGTTTCTGATTTCTGCTATCAGTGCTGGTTTACATGAAATTACAGGATTACAGAGCAGGAGAAGGGGTGGCATGTGAGATTGATCTCAAGAGACAAGACTACCCAGAGTAGAAGGGAAACAGTGTCAGTAATGTGGCTTTTGTTAAGATGAAACTTATATAGTATCTTGGCCGCATTCAACTTTTAAAATGTTACTTTAGGACTGCTTTTCATATTACATTTCTCCTCTAATGGAGTTTGCTCTGTAGAGTGATACATGTTTATAACCCAGTATAGAGAATTGTAACATGAAAGAATGTTATTTGGCTTGAGAGCTAGTTAAGCAACAATAGGTATACCTTTGCAACATTAATATTGGTAAAGAGAACTGTACTTATTCTTCCCAGATTACTTGTTTAAAGATGCTTTCCTTATGCAGCAATGGGGACCTGTGGCCCTCCAGATGTTGTTGTAGTCCAGCTCCCTTAAACCCCAGCCAGCATAGCCAATGGGCAGGGATGAATGGGAGTTGTAGTCCAGCAGTATCTGGACTGCTACACATTTCCCACCCCTGTCTTTAATGCTGTGTTCATGCTATCTCTGAACCACTACCAGTAGCAACTATGGTTACTGTAGATAACTTAATAAGGCATGCATTTTGCTGCCACTTTTTAATCAACAAGAACAATTGTTTATAATGGGGGAGTGGAAGGCAAGCTGTGCATCCCACAGGTCTGTTTGTGTTCTTACATTGCTTTCAAGCATTGTTCCTAGTACTTGGCATGCCAACTGAGAATTAGTGGTGTGTGTAGTTACTTTATCTTGCAACAGTGAGTATGAGTCAGCTACCCTTTATTTTTTATTTTATTTTTTAAAAAGCTTTGCATCTTTGGGTCTTTGTTTCCTCCCCCAAACCTAAGCTGTTATTACTAGAGAGGTATTTTTAGTTTAATCCCTAGCTCAGTCTTTAAAACACCTTAATTATATTCTGCCAAGGAAGAAGAATAAGTTAGCTGGTGGTTAAAACCGTGGCAGTAACAAGCCACAGCCCTTTTCCAAATATGGTACATGAGTGAACACAAGGCCTTTTAAAGGCGTGTCATCACGTGGCCTTCTCATTAGTAAATGTGAAGGAATACAGCCAAGATACAATGTCCTCTCTGTTCCAGCGTCGCACATGTCCCTTATTATTATTAGATCACAAAATTGTTTACTAGCCCATCTGCTTCACACATGCCTGTGTTAATCATTTGCTGCCTGTAACAGGGAGAAAATAACCAAATTGTGCTTGACTCGTCGCCTAGAGACAGTTCTTACCTGCTTAAGTGGCCAAGCAACAGCTTCCGTATAATTCTGGGTTGTTTCCACTAGCAAAGGTTCTCTGTGTCTCATTCCACGGTGTTGTGGCCATCCACGGTGCCATCCTCTCAAAGCTGGAGTGGCTTCATGTCAGCAAAAGATTCTCCCCTGGGTGTCTGTAAAGGAGAGCCCATGGCTAGGGCTCAGCCTGGCCCCATGCATAATCTCCAGTCCCAACAGATGATTAGGGTGTTGTTTCTTTTAAGACCAGCTCACTGAGCAGCTATAATGGTGCCTAAGCAAATCCCACAGTGGATTCAGGCTTATGAGTCTATCTGCAGCTAGCTTTGCTGAGATGAGAATTTTCCATTTTTTTAAAAAAAAAGACTTTGACATTGGTCTGCACTGTTTTGTTAGCTATCATACAATTTGTCAGATACTGAAAAGGATTTTCTGCTGACCCATGCACAATCTCCTTAGGGCTTTAGTTTCATTCTGACATTATGAGGCCTTCTTAAGTTCTCCTGCCTGCTGAGGTGAGCGGCTGGCTGACGGAGAATGGCCTATTCTGTGATTTCAACCCTACTTACAGAATGCTATTCCATATTCAGTTATGTGATGATTGATCCTTTGGGCCAGGTTAGAAGTGATCTGAAAACTTTTCTATAGGCAAGCTATAGAGATTCTCCCAAGTCCCCCATACTAGATCCTTACCTGTAGATAGTTAGTTGCATTCATGGCAGTTTTCCTAATTTCATGGCTAAAGATGTTTGGCATCTAAAGCTCTTCAATCTCAATTGAATTTTTTTCGAGCTTTCTTGAACATTTTAACGAGCTCGATTCTAGTGGCACTGTTGGTCTAACCACCAGAGCTAAGGCTTGCCGATCGGGAAAGCGTCAGCAGTTTCGAGAAATCCCACGACAGTGTGAGCTCCTGTTATTCAGTCCCAGCTCCTGCCACCTAGACAGTTCGATAAGCACGTCAAGCTGCAAGCTAGATACCGTATTTTTTCGCGGACTATTTGGACGCCAACCGGTCCATAGGACGCAACCTAGATTGGGCGGGGGGCGGAATAAAGGCAAAAAAAATTTATATTCCCCCCCCCGGCCAGGCGCGGGGCCTGCGGCGGGAAAAGCCCGAGCTTCCCCCCCCCAGAACGCGGACCAGAGCCATGCCCGAAGCTGCGCCGCAGCTTTGGCCATCGCTCTGTGAGCTAGCGGCTGGGGGAGGAGGGAAGCCTTCCGCCAGCCTCCAAACCATGTCGGGAGACAGCGGGATGGCGCGCTGCGCCTCTCCCGCTGCCCCCGGAGTTTTGCGGGGGGCTGGGCCAGCCTTCATAAACCGCAAGTCGGGGACAGCGGGAAAGGCGCGCCCGCTGCCGCCCCTGCCCGCGTCTCCCGAGTTTGCGGGCTGGCGACGGGGAGGAGCACGCTTCTCCCCCCGCCAGCCTTCTAGCAAGTCCGGGGGTCAGCGGGAAGGCGCCGCTGGCGCCTCTCCCGCTTCCCCCGAGTTGCGGGGCTGGCGAACGGGGAGGAGCAGGCTTCTCCCCCCCGCCAGCCCTGTCTAGACAAGTCCGGACAGCGGCAAAGGCGCGCTGCCCGCCTCTCCCCGCTGTCCCCCGCAAGTTTGCGGGGCTGGCCGACAGGAGAGGAGCAGGCTTCTCCCCCCCGCCAGCCCTTTCTAGACAAGTCGGGGGACAGCGGGAAGGGCGCCGCTGCCCTCTCCCGCTGTCCCCGAGTTTGCGGGGCTGCACGGGGAGAGCAGGTTCTCCCCCGCCAGCCTTCTAGCCAAGTCGGGGGACAGCGGGAAGGGCGCGCTGCGCCTCTCCGCCTGTCCCCCGAGCTTGTGGGGCTGGCGGTGGGCGCTCTCCTGAAGCCTGGAGGTTGTGGTAGCGGCTGGTGGGGGGAGAAGCAGGCTTGCTTCTCCCACCCCCAGCTCCCAGATACAGGTCGAAATAGCGGGATGCCGGAGCACCGCCATCCCGCTATTCCACGACCTGATCTAGGAGGTTGTGGGGCTGGTGCTCGGGGAGAAGCAGGCTTGCTTCTCCCACCCCCAGGCCTCCAGATTCAAAGGTCGGGGAATAGCGCGGCATGGCGGAGCACCGCCATCCCGCCATTCCACGACCTGATCTGGAGTTGTGGGGCTGGGGGGGGCGAGAAGCAGGCCTTGCTTCCTTCCCCCCCCAGGCTTCAGTTCAGATCGGGGAATAGCGGGATGGCGGAGCGCCGCCATCCCGCTATTTCCCGACCTGATCTGGGAGGTTGTGGGGCGAGGGGGCGGATTAAGCAGGCTTGCGTCTCCCACCCCCAGCTCCAGATCAGGTCGGGGGAGATAGCGGCTGTGCGCGGAGCGCCGCCATCCCGCCTATTCCCGACTGATCTGGAGGTTGTGGCGGATGGTCGGGGGGAGAAGCAAGCCTTGCTTCTTCCCCCCCCCCCCAGCCTCCAGATCAGGTCGGGGAATAGGCGGGATGGCGGCGCTTCCCCATCCCCTATCCCCGAGCTTGGGTGCGGGCTGGGGGGGGAGAAGCAGGCTGACTTCTCCCCGCGCAGCCTCCAGATCAACGGCGGAATAGTGGCGGTGGTGGCTCTGCGCCTCCCCCTGTCCCAGCTTTTGGGTGCAGGCTGCTGCCCCGCAAGCCCTTGCAGCCGCGGGACATCACCTGCCGGGCTTGCAAACTTGGGATAGCTTCCTGAAGCCTGGAGAGCGAGAGGGTGTCGGTGCGCACGCGACCCCTCTCGCTCTCCAAGGCTTTCAGCAAAAGCCTGCATTCGCACCATTAGGACGGCACACACACTTTCCCCTTCATTTTTGGAGGGCCGAAAAAGTGCGTCCTATAGGTGCCGAAAAATACGGCTAAATAGGTACCAGCCTTCTGGAGGGAAGGTAAACAGGTTTCCGTAGTGCTGCTCTGGTCACCAGAAGCAAGCTGTTGTCATGCTGGCCACATGACCTGGAATACTGTCTGCGAACAAAACGCTGGCTCCCTCAGGCCTATAGAGCAAGATGAGGTGCCGCAAACCCAGGAAGCGTCCGCAAACTGCGACCCTACAGTCAGGAGGTACCTTTAACCTTTACCTAATATTCCAAAGTGAGACATGGACAGGCATTGCAGGGATTGGACTAGTGGAAGTCTTGGGATCCCTCTGAATCTACAATTCCTATGATTTGATTGCTCTGGGGAGAGCCGAACATTCTATCCCCAACACTGGGAGCACATACATTTTCCTTATGAGGCGAGATCCCAAGCTCCTGTCTGTATTTTACAGGCAAAGCATGGAAACAGCAAAATGTGGCCAACTTTTGACCCCTGGTTTCAGTGTGGGAGAGCCTCTCTGTTTTACTTGCAGCCTTCTTGACAGCTCATTATATTCTGTGTGTAACCAAAAATAATATTCCAATCCACATAAATATGATCACCTGCATTTTGAACATAGCAGGAATTGATGTAAATTTGAAAGGGTTATTATAAGATGTGTTAAACATGGGAAACATCTCTGAGTCCTCATCATAAGCCTATTACAGTCCATCAGCTTCTCTCCACACATTTT